CATCATTCTGTGAAATCTCTTTTCTTAGATATCACTAAGAAATAAATAAGAAATTTTATTAATATAGGCCTTAAACAATGGGTTTCATACATAATATCAGCAGACCCTGGTTGTCAGGAAATCCAGAAGTCTCCTGATATGGTTTGGCTGTGTCCCCACCCAAATCTCATCATGAGTTGTAGCTTCCAAAATTCCCACATGTTGCAGGAGGAAACTGGTAGGAGGTAATAGAATCATGGGAGTGGGTTTCTCCTGTGATGTTCTGTGATATTGAATAAGTCTCATGAGATCTGATGGTTTTATAAATCGGAGTTCCCCTGCACAAGCTTTCTTGCTTGCCACCATGTAAGACGTGACTTTACTCCTCATTAGCCTTCAGCCATGATTGTGTGGCATCCCTAGTCATGTGGAACTGTGAATCCATTAAAGCTCTTTCCTTTCTACTCAGTCTCAGGTATGTCTTAATCAGAAGCATGAGAACAAACTAATATAGCTCTGAATGTTGTGTGAACTATGTGAATATTTTTATTTTTCTAGGGAGTGGACCTAGCTTTCATCAGATTTTCAAAAGGTGTTATGGCCTCCAAAAAACTTAGCACCACTGTCCAATTTATTCAAAATAGTACTGCTCAGGCTGAAAAGAATGGATTTTTTTTTAATAAAATAAATGAGCCCTTTGGGGTCTTTGACTCTACCTGTGTTCATGATTATCTTGAGACCACATTGTGAAAAAGTCTGTTTACCATCATTCTCATTTCAGTTTAGCAAACTGAATTCCTAAGAAATTAAAGTAAATATTCCACCTAAGGAAAAGTGATAGGTTAGTAGGTTAGAACCAAAGACAAGCAGGTTAACCTGCTGCTCCCAGTACCAACTGCCTCCCCCATTAGTGTCTGCCAGGCCATGAGTAAACACAATGGCCAAGCCCTGTGGTGGGCACTTTACATACTTCACTTGTCCGAGCATCATAAGGACTCTGCAAGACATTGTCTTATTTTTTATTTTTTGGAGCTTTTCAAAATTTTTATGTAAATGGGATGATATTTTGTATACATATTTTTTTTCCTTTTTCCATTTGAGGAAACCAAGGTATAGAAAAGCTCAAGGGACTGCCAAAGGCCACAGTCCTGATAAACGTCAGAGATGAAATCTGATGCCAGGTCTGCCTGCCTCCTGAGTTCTACACTGGGATATACTCTAACGCTCGGATCCTCAGAGGAGAAAATGTCAGGGACAGTTTCGTAGACATCTTTGTGCTCTCCACAGGGCCTTGCCGTGCTTTGCATGGAAGGCACTCAATAAATATTTGTTGGATGAAGAAACCTGGTCTTAGGCTCCAATTCTGCCATGGACTTAGTGACTCAGTCTCCTGCAACTTGGAGCTGCAGGTGGTTACTCAGCTGGGCAACTTCAGGGAACATTTGAAATCAATTATGGGTGAGAAGGAACCTATTAAAATCTTCTCTTTTGTGTATGTTGGGGTTGAAAGAGAGGAAAGGAAGTTGAGAAGGAGGAAAAGGAACAGAATGGTTTCAGGGTTGGGTGCTGGAGCTTAAAATTACACACCCAGATGGGACAGAATTTGGCTTATGTCCAGTACTCAGTTCCAGTTACCCAAACAAATGGGCTCCTGACCTCAGTCTACTCCTAGGCGGCCACATGGCCCTTAGCTGCCAGGCCCCTGACTAGCTACCCTTATGGAGGACTCTACAGTGGGGCAGTTGGACACAGTCCTCTCCTGTGCCTTGGCTGCTCTGTCTCAGCTATGAGAAATAGGCGACTTCACTGCAGGGACCCAGGTACCATATCTTCCCCCTTCAAGGGCCACAGGGACTTTCAGCACCAAAAGCCTGAGAGCTCCGTGTTGTCCTCAACTCCAAACAAATGTATTCTGGCAATTCATTCTGGAATTCAACTTTCTATTTTGGAAGAATGTGGGAGTTTGGAGTAAGGGGGTTGGGGGAGAGGGATAACTTTAGTTTTCTTTTCTTTTCTTTACTAGTTGCTAAAGTGCAACTTAGTCACAGCCCCAAAAATGCCACTTTTGCCCTTTCACATAAGCCCCACAAAAAAACACTTGCATAAAGCTGACCCCAAGGGATGCCTATGAACAACATTCTGGGAGAGGACAATTAAATTCATGCAGTCCAGAGCCAGGGCAGGACAGTCCTCCAAGAAACCAGAGACATTCCCCACTACGTGGCTGCCTACTCTCCTGTGAATGAGACAACACTGCCACCTAGTGTTCTGTGTAGAAAGTATCCTCTAAGACCCCTGCATCTAGGTCTGGGGAAGGGGATGTTCCTCTGTAAATTGCTGTGGCTGCATTGCTTGAAGTCTCCGTCGAAGAGAAAATGCCCTCAAGTAGGTAGATTAAGGATTGGGAAACTGGGTTGAAGTTGAGTAGGTAGAAGGTAAGCTTTGAGAGCTGTTGAAAAAGTGTAGGGGCCAAGTCTTGCAGCACCTTGGATCATTCCCGGTGGAGCAGCAGAACTGCTGAATTGTATGTGGATCCCAGGGACATGATTCTATTGTCATTCTGCATAGGTGAAAGTCAACCATCCTGAGAATAGACAGTGACTGGCTCGGGCCAGTACAGTACGGTAAGAGAAGGAAGATAGGCTGGTCTGTCCACAGGCATGAGTAGATTAGGACAAATGCCTTTGGAAACATTATGGTTCTCAGGCATGGAGACTTCACGTGAAGTGTAAGCAGCTAAGTGCAGTGAATACACAAGGATGCCCAAGCCCTCAAGAGCCCTGTTGCTAGAATCCTGAAGAATGAAACCATGCTCCCAACCCCCATCTTTCCCAGACCTTTACCCTAAATCTTTACTGAATATTTTCTGATGTACAGAAATCTAAAGAAAAATATAGAGTGATAGGTGGAGAAAAGATAGCCCTGGGCATTCCCTGCCCTCAACCTTTCTGGTATAGTCCTAAGTGGGGAAATACCAGTACACCACAAGGGCCACTTTGATTTGAAGAGAAGGAAAACTCAGAAGCCAGATGGTCTGCAAAAGATTTCCTGCCCAATTTTACATGCTTAAGGAGGTTAAAAGAGTTCAGATGGGTACTCTGGAGAAGAATCTGTGTGCTGTGGCAGTACTGGCAGTGGTTGGTGGCAAGGGACAGGTGGGCAAGGGAAAGAGATGTCCTGGGGTGGGGATGTGGGAGGTGCCACAGGAAATGCTGTAACTGGAATCAAATTATGACACTGCTTTCCTTTATGCAGAGCCTCAGACAGGACACAAGAGGGACAGGACAGGGGTCAAGTTTCCCCAGGTTTGGGCTCTAGTATCCCAAAGAGGTAGCCCCTTAGAGCCTCCCACATCAATTCCTGTTGGATCCTTCTCTCATATTTTTCAGCCAGGGAATTAATCCCAGGTCCTTACGTTGCTACTGCAAGAGGAGGGGTAAGCGGAGTCCTGGGTCTTAGTCTAGACTGCAAGCACACAGTTTCCCTAACAGATGGGTACTAGGAAGCAAGATTAAGCAGCAAGAAGATGTCATCTGGGAGAAACTGTGGAGCTGCCAACTCTGATCAGATAATCATCTCATTATTTCTTCCATTTGGCCCCAGAATAAGGATTTCCTTCTACTCTTTCTCTTCCCCCACCTAACTTAGAGCCCAACCCTTTTTTTCCCTTTTCCCCACCCCCTCTCCCACCCAAAAATAAAATACAGCAAAACCACAAGACTTGAGAATGCTCAGAGTCTGGGAATCTCAGCCTCCAAAGGAGAAATCACAGCCAAAGAGGGAGACAGAGTGTCCGGAAGGGATGTTCCAGCAACACCCCCTTGAAAGGGGCTCCCTCCTTGCCGACTTCTTTCCCTAGTCTGAAACTTACTTGCAGGCATCCAGTAACCTGATATTTTTTTCTTAATTTGAAAAGCTGTCATGTGATTCAGTTGTTCTGGAGTTCTATTCCCAGCCTGCCTCGCATGTCTTTTATTGCCTCAGTTTTCTCATCAATATAATGGGATTGGAAAACATGAAAGAGTATTGTGGATAATCCAAATTAAGCAGATTATATGGCTCTACTATAGCTTGCTTTGTGTTAGGTTCTGTCGTGGAGAATTCAAAAGGATAATAAGGTACTAAATGATGAAATATCACCTCTAATCCATGAACTCTTGCTTCATCCCAACCTCCCCAGGAAGGCAACAGGAAACAGTTACTCTTAACCTCATTTTTCTATCTTTCTGGGTGACTTTCCATGAAAACCAGGATCTGTGTATAGGAGAAAACAAACGTAAGTCATGTTCCCAGACAAGACAAGCACTCCTGACCAACACCGTGGAGTTACACAAGGTTTCATTTTTTTAGGTCCTTCTTACAACAACAGTCAGGCCTAGGAGTCGGGATCTTGGCTTCTAAATGCTCACTTTTTCCAGGGGACCCTACTGTTTCTGGGCTGGACACATGATTGCTGGGACAAAGTGAAGGGACCTCCAGGACCGGGACCAGATGGTAACTTTCTGCCAAGATCCAGGGCACTCAGAGAAAAGGAAACCAGGCAGGACTTGATGGCTGTGTACCTGGCAGCCTTGTTTCCTTACTGCCTGGACCAGCCCAGGCAGAACCCATTGCTCAGGTCCTTGGATTCTCATCTGCCTTCAGGGTTGCCCGAGTATCTCATCTTGCACTATCAGAAATGGAGTATGATACCCCTTCTCCTTTGCCAAAGAACCAAGGAGATCCATCCCTTTAAAGAGAAGTAAGAGAACTAAAGTCTCCTGAGTGCGAGCACAATGTATAAAAGGACATGAGATCAATACAAGATACAGAGGCTGAGATGGCTATAGTCAGTATCTCCTTTTTGATGGTGTCTGGAATCCTGCTGTGCTGATGAATAAAGGCCCTTCCCTCTCCCTGGCTAGCCCTTTCTGGCTTTTGTGTTGGATCTCCTTCCCATCCTTGATCCCTAGGTCTAACCCATCAGAAATAAAGCCAGCCATACCCTCAGGATGTCAGAACGACCAGGAGAGGGGTGTTACCTGCGATGACTGCCGGGTTGTTCTGTCCTCCCTCCGGTTTAACCCAGGTTTCCACTGTGAACGCCTCCCGGGGAATCTCAGCCAGCACTTCTGGACGCAGCAGTAGCCGCTCCCGCCTCCCAGAGAAGTATAAGATGGGCAGTCCTACTTGGGAGTTAAAGGTCTCTGCTTCCCTGTAGGAGTCCTCTCCACCATTTTGGGTTCTGTCCTCCGGTGGACTCTTTCTGACCCTGTGCTTAAGGGAATGCTTGGACCAAGGTTGGAAATGTGAAGAGATATCAAAGTCTCCCAGTATATCTTCCTCCTGCCTCTTCCACACTTGACGACGCTGTCTGGACTTGGCCCAGCCCCTCTTTTGGGTCTCTGGTTTGGGTTCCTTTAGAGTTGTGAAAATGGCCGAATCTTTCTGAGTCCCAGCCCCACCTAGAGTCTTCTTGGACCCTTGATTTTCAAGATAAGTGTCATCATCTCCCAGAAGCTCAGATTGCCCAACAGGACCATCCCCTACCCACAGGGCAGCTGGCTGTTCAGCTGCACTCCTCAGTCCTGCTGGATTTTCTGTCAGGTCTTGGGGAACAAGGTTCACAGCATTTCCTTCCGTGTCTGGTTTGCTGCGTCCCGTATGGTGGATTTCCTGCTCTCCCACAGGGTAGGGCCCCAGGTATTTCCCAGCCCTGCTGGGGTAGACTCCAAAGAGGTGATGCTGTGGAGCAGCTCTGGGTCTTCGAACCTTGGCTCCCAGCCAACAACGTTCTCCTTCCAACAGAACCTGACTCAGGTGTTCCCTCTGAACCAAGGATTTCTTGTGTGTCCAGCCCAGCTCAGAGCTGGCAGAACAAAATGCCCACCCAACCAAAATAGCCAGGCTTATTCTCAGGATCTTTAAGCACATCATACCTCCCATAGCTCTTTCTACAGAACCAGAAGTCAAGTTCTGGGTACCACACCAGAGTGATGGGCAGAAGAGAAAGGGGCAGCTAGCAATGGATTTGCAGTCACCAGGGAAACTGTTTTGTTCGCAGACCAAACTTTTTCAAATAGCCTCAAGAATGCCTCTGCTGGCTACCTGTGCTGACCACTCTGCCAGCGCGGCTTCTACGCCTTCCTGCCACATGTGCTTCCTGCACGCTTCTCCCTTGATATCTCTCTTCCTAATTTAGTCCTTGCAGAATGAACTTAATTCCTCTTGGTTCCTTTGAATTTCCTCCCAGAGAGCTCAGGTTTCTTCCCCCCTCCTTCTTCTTCAACAATCCCTCCCCTCTGTGATACTAGAAGAGAGACCCACAGGCATGAGCCAAGTCTCTCAAATATACACTCACAAGCACATACCCCTCACTATCTGAAGTCAGTCAAAATAAACTTATTCTCTAATTTTCGTTTCTTTCTCTTCTTCCTTCCCTCGGAATTACCTTCTCTTTCTGTAGTCCTTAAGCCAACATAAGTTCACCTTAAAACAAATTTTGCTAGAACTTTTACACAGAGACACACAATTTGAATCTTCTTATTTTTACATGCAAAAATAATCTAGGGGCACGAAAATCCAAGCTGGTACTTAACTTTCATTCTCCGATGTCCTCAGCCAGGTCCCCAACCAACTTCCAGTCTGTCCGTGAAGGTTAGAGTGTTTCCTTCAGTTTGGTGCTTGGGGTTGTTGGTTGTTGGTTTTTAATCCCTCATCCAACTTGTTGGAAGGTTGAAAGTCTCCGTAAAGTTATTTGGGTTGTCAGTTTGCTGTTCTAATAACCTTATGAGCCTGGGAGCTCTTGACTTCACCTTCTGGGAGTCTTGTGGGTTCCTGGGGAGATGGGGAAAAGAGCAAAAAGAAGAGCATAGACTTCAGGGGACCTGCTCTTTCCAGTCTCTCCTGCTCCCCTTGGCTCCCTTTCTCTGTGCCTGTAAATATCTTCTTGGGTTTTTTTTCTTTTCATTTAAAGACAATGATGATGTCAAAGCTAGTGAGTTCAATGCATCACTCCACCTACTCCCTGTCCCCTCCTTCCTCCTGAAAACCTCCCCACCTCACCAAGGCACAGGGGACAGACGCTACTCTTGGCTTCCCCAGTAAACATCTCGGGCTTTCTCTTTCAGCAGCTGCTGCCTACACAATCGATAGCAAAGAATCAATACTGTTTTGGAGTACTCTTCTGTGTGTATTCTCCCTCTGTCTCTCTCTCTCTCTCACACACACACACACACACACACACACTTGCTGTGAACACACCTACCTACTGCCTAATAGCCCACACTAACCTTTTAGGGGTCCCTTGTATCTTTCTTTTGTTTTGTCACAAACCTGTATTTTTTCTTACTTTGATCAAGAATTTGGGATTTAAAAGAACAGTGCCCTAAATTCACTTTAAATCAGACATGGGAGAAAGGAGAAATCAATTATCCTGCTGTGAGAAGTATTAAATGGAAATGCCATGAATTTGTACTACGCAGATCTTTTTCTCTCAGAAGTTTCTCAATCTGAAGTTACTAAAAGTCACCATATGCTGAATGAGCAAATAAACAAATGACATGTTCAAAATAAGTGACTTACAAAAATGAACAGCTAGACCCAAGCAACCATGTTTCCAATTGATTTGAAATGGATGGAAAGGATGGGGAAGAAAGTGTTACGATTTTAACCTCTGCAGTGTTTGCCTAGATGCCTAGCAAAAGGCTTTCTCAAAGGGTCCCCACCCTCTAAGTGCATGTGCACATACACAAATATACACATGTATACATGGACACACACAGCATGGTTCTGAATTCTTAGCACAAGTGAGGATGTCTGACGACAGGTGGTACAAAACAGTGGAGAAACACATTGGGTCCTTCATTCAAGTAACAAGGAAAACCACTTACACTTTTTAAGTCACTGCTTCTGTTGCCCACATCTAAAACACGCAACCCACATACTCTGGAGTAAGATCACACTGCCTCTTCTGCCTTGAATCTCCTCATCATCTTCTAAACTCCTCTAACCCAGCTAAGAACTGACTTGTTCAGATTATAAATGCTATATCTTAAACATCTCATCCTCAGCGTGTCCTGTTTCCTTATGTAGAATCCACTGGAGCCTCGATGCAAGTCCCCCAAGAAGATATCAATTCAGGCACGTGGACATTACTAAGCAGACATCCCTCAATCCTAGACTGCCCCTTTTTCCCTCCCTTCACTTTTGACTCAGTTTTCTCTCTCTCTCTCTCTCCTCTTTCTGAAGCAGCTCAAGAATAAAGATTAGGGGTTTGGGGAGGGGGACATAGAGAAAGCCAGGAAAGCAGAAGAGGTGTGTACACACACACACACACACACACACACACACACACACACAGCAGAAAAGAAAGGAGGGAAGGAAGAGAGGAGGTTTAATTCAAGTAAAGGGAAGATACTACTCAGGTAAGAAAAGAAGTAAACTTCCCCCTCTCACATGCCACCCCATAACCCTCAGAAAAAGGTTTCCTACCATTCATTTCAGGAAGGAGGGATAACACAGCCAGGAAGAAGAATTCCGCCTGCTTTTCTCCCCCTTTTAATGTGTAAGGGATCTTGCATCCCCTCTAGGTCTCTCCTGGCTCTCAGCTTCTAGTAATCCATTCATAAGGTTTCAGAAGCTACACAAAACTCAAGCTTCCAGTTTAGTTTCTCTCTCCCTTCATTCCTTTGCTCACCACTCTCCTTCAGCTCTTGGCAGTCCCAAGTTAAAAAAAAAATGTTGAACCATTTCTGTGTTTTCCTCCTGTTGTAACTTTTGCTGTGACATCATAACCCTGCCCACCAACACCCCACCTCCCTCTCCTTTCCATCCCACCCCTCATCAGCCCCATACCCGCAACACACACACACCCCACGGAGAAGAAGGGCTCCTGTCAGTTCCAATGTGTGAAAAACACAAAGCTACTAGAAGGTGCCCCCTCCCTCCCTCGGCCCCCCTCCTCTCTTCCCCCTCCCTGCCTTACCCACCGCTCAGCCTCGGCTCTCTCAAGGCTTTTAACAATGATCCCATCTGTTTGACATGTGCGGAAAGGTGGGCTGGACTCAAATAATCTGTCAAGTGAATCAGATCAAAAACACAGCAACCCCCTCCTCAATTCCATCACACATACACACCCCCGAGCAAAAGTGTGAGAGAAGTCAGACTTGCACAGCACCCACCCTTGATGCCAGGGAGAAAGACACCAAACATGCCAAGGGAAACCCAAATTTACATAGACATAAATTCTGTTGCTATTTGTTTATGACAAACACACACACCCCAAGTCCCCTACCCCTCTTCCCCAAACCCTGCCACTCCGCAAGTGCACACACTTGAAAGCTGGTCAAATGTGTTTTGAAATCTCCAAGGAGAGGGTTTTTCCCCCTTTTTTTCACTCCAAAGCACTATCTGTGGCGATCAGACTGAGCAGGGTTGCCAGCAAATGCAGGAGGCCCCTTCTAGGGTACAGGCTTTCAAACCAGCGAAGCTAGAGGGAATGGATTTAAGGACACACAGCAGGAGCTGGCTGGATTCATTTTATTTTGGGGGTAGTTGGGGGAGGAATATCATTTCTGAAATGCCCAAGGAATGAAGGGAGAGGATATGGATTTCTTAAACAGTTTTTGCAAGAGGAGCGGTGTCTTGTTTTGCAGGTAAATCTATAAGGCAAGAAATTGAAGCTTACAGATAAACAAGGACCAGGACGGAGAGGGAAAGGGAGGGAAAGGGAAAAGAGGAAAGCGAGGAGAGGGAGGAGAGGGAATGAGGAGATGGGAAAGGGGAGAGAGAAAAGAAGGGGAGAAGGACCCACAGGGGTGGGGGGCAAGAAAGGAGAAGAAAGAAGGAGGCGTAGAGAAAGAGGGAAAGGGGAAAGGAGTGAGGCGAGGGGGAGGGGAGAGATGGAGGAGGAAAGGGGTGAAATGGAAGGGGGAGGGAAGGAGGACTACGAAAAACAGAAGATTCTGGGAGGGGAAAGAACTGAAAAAGAGAAGTAGAGAAGAGAATAGGGAAGAATGAAACAGGGAGGAAGGAAAAATAGAAAGAGATGGTGAGGCACAAAAATATGGAGACCAGGAAGGCAATTAGAGCCATAAAGAAATCTCAGAGGCAGGTGAAGGAAGGAGATATTATAACAACGGGTTGAGGTTAGGTTTTATGCACAGAAGACAAAGGACGCACAGTAGGGGGACTGTCTCTTAGTGATTGGACATGTTTTTACAAAATCCGATTGCAAGGCTTCACCATTGTCTCTTTAAGGAAACTCCTCTTCCCTCCGCTTTCCCTCCCTGCATCTCTGCCTCCAACATCCACCTCCACCTTCCTTCTTTCACCCTTCATTTCCAGCTTATCTTCCCCTGGAGAATTCATGAGTAAAATTCAGATACCCACTCCCCCAAATAAACCCATTCTTCATGATCCCTTCCTTTATTACTATCCACAGAGGTTCCTGGATCCTCTTATCTAAAGACTGGGCTGTTTGTGATCATCTGTGCTTCATTGCAACCCAAATTATATGATGTTTCCTTTAAGCCCATGATGTCAGGAGTGTTTTGCTTTATTTACTCCTATAGTGGGGCTGGGTCAGTTTTCATTAGCTTTGTCATCATTATTATTAAGAGTCTTTGCACAGAGAGGAGCCAGTCCACGCTGGCATCTACCTGCAGCATACAGCATTATCAGAGACAGAGAGATACCCCTTAATATGGTCACTGATCCTCTCTGGCTTTTTAGTTCCAAAATTTGATCCCTTGAAGGAAAAGCTCAGCTGGGAGTCAGCCAGGGAGCGTAGTAATAAAACCCTCCTAGAACACAACCAAATGCAGAATCTATATATAGAAGCCAGATCTGTTTTAGCTACTTGCAGTCTAAAATGACACCCGGAAACAAACATTTCAGCAATATGTTTATTGGAATCTTATTCAGCTAGTGCTGGAAACAAAAAGGAGCTTCTCTAAAGGATTTCTCTCTGCGGCTCAGGGTTGCTGCTTTCTGTTCCTCTTGCTCTGGCGCAGAGAGATGGGAGTCGGGCTCTATCGTTTGAACTTGAGATTCCTTCAGGGTAATCTACTACAGCCCCCTTTTTTTACGAGTAAGTGAACGAGCACAGAGTCACAAAATTAATGGTAGGGCCAGGCATAGCATCAGGTCTCCTAAATCCCAGTGCAGCTTTTTTGCCTTCTCTGGCTATGCACTGTCTTCACCTGTCTGGCTGGTTTGCCAGCCATTTGTCAACTAGATGGGAAGGCAGTATCGAAGACTCACCTCCCAGGTTGCACATCCTGGCAAAAAATGCCCAGGAATACATGCCGGTCATGTGTGTTCTGTAACTCAAAATCATACAACACTCAAAAAGAAAATGCAAATCTGGATTTCACTCTCCTCCATTTGCATTTTGAGCCAAGACAAGTCCTATCTTCTTGTGGAACTGTTTTGTGCTCTGTATGTCAGATAATCATATTATTTCCAGAACGCAATTGTCATTATAAATTATTAGCAGTGTTAATGGTCATGTTTTAAAAGCCACTTTCCATCCAAATAGATCAAAGAATTTCATAGACAGGTTAAGTTTCCCAACACCTCAGGGGAGCAGTATGGTGAAAATAATATGCCAGAGATCTATATTCCCTGGTGACAGTCCCTATTGGGTAAGTGTTTTCTGTAAGATTTTGAGCCTTGGAACCAGCTCGTGGAGCCCTTTGGCTGGGGAAGAGTTTAACGGTGATGCTGGATTCTGCCCTGCTCATCAGACAAACAAAGGCTCTGCAGGGTTTATGTTTCAATTAGGATTGCCTTTGTACCTGGAATCTCTTCAAAAGGCAACTTCATAACAAAAATAATGAGTAGACTTGTACACTTGCATTTCCAAATCGCATGCATTCTTTCTTTCTAACCACAACAATGTGAATGCAAAGCAAGTATGCCCATCTTACAGATGAGGACACTGAGGCTGAAGAAGGTCAGCTCATCCACAGACCTGCATTCTGCTAAGTGAAAGAAGCCAGACTTAAAAGGTTGCAAACAGTGCGATTCCATTTCTATGACACTCTGAAAAAGGCAAAGCCTTGAGGATAGAGAATGGGCCAGTGGTTACTAAGAGCTGAAGGTTGGGGAAATAGCTGAATAGAAAAAGCACAAAGACATTTGGGGCTTACATAGCTACTCTCTATCTTGGTTGTGGCGATGATGCCTGACTGTATGCATTTGTCAAAACTCAAAAGAACTGTGTACTAAAAAGGGTCGCTATATGTAGACTATGTCTCAGGAAATGTGGTTGTGGTGGGCAGAAAGAGCCAGGGGTAGGTCTCCAGTCTTTTAATTTTGAATATATTATTTTTCTATCTACATCCTGTAGGTGCCCAAAGACCAAAAGAGAGTATGACATTGCTTGGTGGTGGTTAGGCTCTGCTCTATGCCGGAACTCTCCACTGGCCATCTCACCTAGACTCTGAGGGGACCCTTTAGAGCCAGACTGGATGGAGCACCAAGCTGGCTTAAAGTTCCAGCTCCATCAACCCATATGGCCTCAATAAATCCAATACCCTATCACCAAATAAACAATAGTCAACAATTATGTTCCTGTTCTGCCATTCAGCAGCTGTCTGACCATGGGCAACTCAATGAACTTCTCTGAGCTACCTATAAAATGAGGAGATTGGAATAGAAGACCTCTAAGTTCCTTTCCAGGTCACATTTGAGATTCTCTTATTTTTCAGCCCAACACTTTTCTAAGATTCTATGTTCTCATTTATAAAAGAAAGCCAGTGCTCACTTCCTATAAATATACCAGAGACTCAACTGTACATTAGCAATGGGCACCTATGGCATTTATTTTGGTCCTTAAAGAAAGCCATATATTCAAATGTGACTTTATTAAAACACTGATATGCAAAAACAGGGGTAGCATCTGAAGAGTTTTAGAGCTCTGCTATTATAGGGAGAAAGACTTCCTATACATCTGTAGCATTACCATGTACTTTACAAGTGAAATAAAGAACACATGGCATTAGTATGAAAACACTTACACGAGAGCAGCTTTTTAAATTTGGCGCTGTGCTAGGATTTTAAAATGTGATGATTTCCCTGAGATGATAATAATATTAGCAGTAATAACAATTAACATTTATTAATTACAGTATGGAAGGCACTGTTCTGGCCATTTCATATATACTAATTGATTCAATCCTCACAACAGTCCTGTGAGGTGGGTGCCTCTACCATCCCCATTTTCAAATGCAGAGTAAGAACAGTAGCTAGCATTTGTTGAGCACATACCACATGCCCACTGTAGCATCAGTGTAAATCTATTAATTATCTAACTTAATTCAACAACAAACCAGTGATATAGCTCCACTATGATCCCCATTTTTAGATGGAAACACCAAAGCACAGAGTCAAGCAACTAAACTCATTCGCCTGTAAAAGAACCGCCCATTTCCAGACCTCTCACTTGTAGTCATCATACTGCACTGCCTTTTCATGAAGGGTGTAAATACATGCCATGATTTGACTCCCCACATGATAAAACCAGACTTTTCCTGGTGTGGACAACTCAGTGATTCCTCCTGAGTAATGGAAAGATCTTTCTTGGGACTTTTCCTAAAGTCTCTCTTGAGTCTAATGCCTCTAAGAAATGTAGCCCAGCTAACAGCAGCAGTCAGGGCAAGCCCCACCTCTGCCAGTCCTAGGGTATCTTCCACCGATTCCCCAAGAGCTCTTGTTGCCACTACCCTTAACCCCCAGATCCAACATGCCCCTATGAAATTTTAAGAGACAAATAACCAACCAAATATAAATGGAAAACCAGACATTTTCCCAACTCATTAACTCCATTTGGGAGGAATCATACAAGATAAATAAATGTTATGTTGCCTATTTAACTGCTACTGACTTTTTATATTAATAACAGCTATGTGCTGATAGTCTATTTTATTCTAATCTAATTTAAAATATTAATAAGATATGACCACCTCTAATGTACCCTGCTCTTTCCTCTACATATAGTATTAATCAGCTTTCACTAGGTTATATTGTGCTAACAACCTACCCTAAAATCTCCAAGACAAGAGAAAAGGTTGATTTGTCATACATGTTATATATGTATGTAAAAGTGGGTCAGCACACCACTTTTTTTTTTAATTATGGAATGGAGGATAAAGGAACAGCTCCTATGGGACATATCATTATTGTGGTAGAGTAGTGGTTCATAACCAGAAATAATGTCACCTTCTAGGAGATATTTATCAGTGTCTCCAGGCATTTTTGGTAATCACAACTGAGAGAGGGATATTGCTCTCATCTAGTGGGTACAAGCTAGGGATGCTACTTAACATCCTTCAATGCATAGGACAGACCCCATCTCTATCAGCAACAAAGAATTATCTATTCCAAAATGTTAACAGTGAGGTTGAGAGACCCTGTGTAGAGGTAAATGAGCAATGACAAACCATGCAATTGTTCTTAAAGGTTTTGCATGGGTTTAGTACAGGTCATTACTGCCTGTTTTCTATTGGTCAAAGTAAGTCATGAGCAATCAAGGCAGACGTCATGAGGCGGGGCACAAAACTCCTCACACAAGGAGAATCTGCAAGAAGTCACATAGTAATAGACATGGTTATATAATCTTCCTACAATGACTGGAGCAAATTATTGGGAACAGTAGTGTAATTCAACCACAACTTACTTAACTGAATTGAGGCAATGAATGAAATGATGCCCTAGGGTTTCGAGTTATCCCAGAATTGTCGGTAAGCAGGTGGCAGTGGGGTAAAATGTATTGAAGGCTTAGGAGACAGACCTATAAAAAGCTGGGTCTTTTCAGATGAGCTATGTAAACAGGCTGACATAAAGTTTCTACATCTGCAATAGAGAGGCACTAACACTTACCACACAGATTATCCTAAGGATTCATGAAATATTACATGGGAACTGCACTGTACAGTGGGTGGCACAGATATACGCAGGAGGATTTTGGTTATTAACTTTTACTGGAAAACTTCTACATGTAAGCCAAAGGTTCAGAATACTTTGGCCCACTGTTTTGATTAATTTTGATCTCATCATTTTGACCCAGTAAATCGTTTCAATGCCATCATTTTTGGTCCTTGGAAATAATTTTATCTCACATTACAAAATAAACACTAAACATTGAAATTTATTGATTCAGAGATAAAAAGCAATCACAAAATTAGCATTATTCCAAAACTAATTATATTTCAAGAGGAAAATTTATTAAGTCATGTTACCTCTTTGATAAATTCCTATCGGTATGGGTTAAGTATTTTCATTATTTTCTATTTGTATGTTTGTTTTACTAAAATTAATTTTCATCCAAATCAATTCTTAGCTTTGGTCACGTGAGACTTATCAATTACAGCTTCAACTATTGTGTGTTCTCTTTTGCAATAAGTCTTGCTACTGAGTCCAATACTGCCAGCACAAATTTTTCATATGTAGATTTAACCATGTGCAATTTTATTCCTTATCAGATTAATTTTATTGACTATTTCTACTGTTAATATTCATTAGGAGTTGGGTAAAGTTTTTGACTAAATTGTTTTTTGGCTAACAGAAAAATGTGAGCAATTTTTCTCAAATATTCTAGAATTACTCTCTCAATCTAGGACTGATTGCCCTATCATATTCCCCACCTAAATTATTTTCAATTACTCAACTATCCACTCCAGAGAAGAGAAAAGAAAATAACACCACCAAAATGTCCCAGATAGAGTTGGTGCAGTAAGGTGAGATGGGGATCTAAATTATAGCATCAAAATGGGTAGCAAAAATCACTCTGCTTCAGTAAGGAGCATTACAGGTTTTAGAGCAGTTTCTCCAATTGTCCAGGAAGCAGCCCTAGACAAAGGTGAGCAAATGTCATGTTTTTTCATAAAGTAAATAAACAAATAAAATTTGCATGTTACTGTACAACACAGCCTGTCCATACTTATTTCAACATTAGTTAAACTTGAGTTACATTGATGTTCCAGGAACAAATGCCATATTAAGCGTGTGTTTCTGGCTTCCTCTTGCACACTGCCACCTTTCTCAGTTTGGAAAGTGTGCCTCAAAAGAATCCAAAGTAATTACATTTCCATGAGGGAAGACCTGTGTATTATGCATTAAGAACCAGGCATTGGGCTAAACACCAAGTGAGACTCAACAGTATGATGCCAGAAGGCAAGCAGGAAGAAAACAATTAGGACTGAAAATGAATGAGAGAAACTCTAGTTCACTGCCCACCTTCTCATTCCAGCTAAAAGAAGGCTATGACATTGTGGTTAATAAGATGTATGCATGGTCATTCCTCATTTTCCTAAGGGATTGGTTCCTGGGCTCCCCTGAGGAGACAAAAATTTTGAGGATGCTCAAGTCCCTTATATAAAGTGATATAATATTGACATATGACCTACGCACATCCTCCCAGATACTTTAAATCATCTCCAGATTACTTACAACACCTAAATCAATCTAAGTGCTATGTTAAGCAGTTATTATACTATATTGATTACAGTATAATGACAAGAAAAAAAAATCCTGCAGTTTTTTTTTTTTGGTTTGAGGTTGGTTGAATCCATGGATGCAGGACCCAGCTGTGCAGACAGAGGACCGACTATGTTCAATCTTTTCCCAGGTCCTGGCGAAGAGCACCTAAAACCCTGAGGATTTCCTAAGTGATAAGAGAGACAAAGGTAAAAGGAGCATTTTTTGTTATTCATAGCAAGCTCCCTCAATCATGCCTGAGCTTACGTTAAGGAGGTGACTTTGGAAAGCCCTGACACTGGAGACTGATTATTAGGAAAACCAGCCACTTGGTTAGAGGATTGGAATTTTTCAGCCCCACCTCTTCGATTTCCAAGGAGGGGAGAAGAGGTGGAGGTTAAGTTTAACACTAAGTGCTAATGATTTAATTGATCGTGACCATGTAAAAACCCAAAACAAAGAAGTTCAATTAGCTTCCAGGCTGAACACATGGACACGCTGGGCAGGTAGCTGGCTGGAGAGGACATGGAAGCTCTGTATCCCTTCCCCATACCTTGCCATGTGCATTCCTTTCATCTGGCTGTTCCTGAAATGTATACTTTTTCAATAAGCCAGGAATCTAGTAATAAACTGCTTTCCTAAATTCTGTGATCTTTTCTAAGCAAACGATTGAACTTGAGGAGGCAGGTTTGTGGGAACTTCAGACTTGTAGCTAAGCTAAAGAGAAGTTGTGGGTAACCCCCCATTTGCAATTCATGTCTAAAAGTTGTGGGAGAGTAATCTTGTGGGACTGAGCCCTCAACCTGTGGGATCTGCACTAAGCCCAGGTAGATAGTGTGGGAATTGAATTGAATTGTAGGACACCCAGTTGTCATCCACAGAGAACTGGAGCCTTGCCTGATGTGAAAGAAACCCTACTCAATTGGTGGCCAGAAGTACTGAATATGAACATAAAGAAAAATAGTTGGATTTTCCTACTCAAAAGTAGTTGAGGAATGACACTGAGTACCGCTCAGTACTTTGAACCTGAGCTAACACCAGGAATTCCAGATGAGAGCTGACTCTAAGACAGTCACTAGTGTTTCAGGACCAAGTGTTAATATAACAATTAGCATGTGTGGAACAACTCCTACATCCCTGTACTACGCACTGGCCATGCATCACGTCATCAGAGTTAGATACTATTAATATTGTCATTTTATGTGTGCAGGGGTTGACACTTGGACTAGTTAAGACACTTGCCCAGGACTATTACAGACTGCAAGCAACTGGACTGAGGTAAATCAGCAGGACTCAAGTACATGGTGCTCCTATAAGCCTGATATCAAGACTGAGGACTTCCCTAGGCTCCAGCTATTCCCATGAAAGTCCAGCATCTAGAGATGAGAAAACTGGAGACATGTTAGGGAAACGCCCTCTGATCTCACACTAAATCCCAAACCTAAGTAGCTTAAATGATAAAGTCTATTTCTTGCTCACTAATACCCAGTACAAGAGTTCCTGCTGATGAGTGGTGCTTCAGTGGCTCAGACCCCTGCCATCTGGGCTCTACTCTTCATTATAGCCTTGAAATCCACTGCCTTCAGCTGGTAAGTAGGGAAAATGAGATGGCCCACTTCTTAACTACTCCAGCTTAAAAGTGGCACAGATCACACATCATTGGAAAGAAACAATTAATGTCTTCACCTCAAAACTAATGGGCTGAAAATATAAACCCTTGCTGGCAAAAGCGTCCTTACAACTCTACACCATGAAAGGGGCACAGAATCCCTGACAGACAATCAGCTATTTGTGCCGCTGAGAATATGCTCGGCCCTTCCACCAACTCCAGGTATGGCAGTGGAGATGGAGGAGAGGAAAGAGGGTATGTCCTGACCTAGTGGGTGAGGTTCTGAAAGTCTTGGGGTAGTTCCTCAAAGAAGTCAATATTGAAGAAGAAGCTGAGCTAAAGCTCCACAGAAAGACATAGAAGGGAGGTCTTACGCTCCAGAAAGTGGCCAGACAGAAGTGGTCAGGTGCAGAGATGAAGCTGGAATGTGGGGCTCAATATTGAGAAAGCAGAGAAAAGAGAACAAGGGGATTGAGGGAAAACTCCAAGTGTGGGTACTGGAAGGATTTTCTTAAACAGAGCCTACTGCTCATGTACAAAGCAATGGAGGGGAGAGTGGGCTGGGAACAGCATGGATGGGACAGCAGCACTTCCCTTTGACACGCAGATGGAAGTCTAGGCGGCCACACATGGACTCCTCAAAGCCTGGCTGCCTCTTTTCCATAACTTCACTTCTGGAGAGTGCCACCCCCAAGACAGCGAGGACCCTGAAGAAGCCATCACTGATGTTTAGAATACATTTTCCCTCTATCTGAAATAGAGTAACAGAGATGTTGTAGGTGGTTGTGGAATTCCTCCCACACTTTGATGCTGCAAGGAAAGGAGCCACAGTCAAGGAATTTGTAGCAATGACAAAGTTAAAACTGTCTTTTTGAAGGAATTAAAAGGACTCATACTGGAGAACTTTTGTAAAGCCTACAGGATTTTAAATACGTTGAAAAGGAGGTTCCTGTAGCTGATCTCTTTTGAAAGAATTTTTTAACTGACGAAACACATTTCATGTATAAATATAATTTCAAAATAGATATCTTTTCCCCTAGATGTCTTTGGGAAAAGGAGCAGACCTACTGAACAGGACATTTGCCCTTCCTAAATCCCCTTCCAGTCCAACCTTTCCACAGATCGCAGCCATAGCTGGAGTAGAAAATCAAACCAAGGCAGTCTGAGCCCGTAGCTGGTCAGATGCCCTCCTACCCATTCAACAAAGATCCTGTCCAGTAGGGGCCAGGGGAAAGTTCAAGCTTGTCTTCTGCAGACTAAATTGGTCAATGGGTTATCATTGAGAGGGCAGGCTTTGTAGGCTGGCAAACACTGTTCTAGTCTGGACTCTGCCTCCATTGCCTGTATGGCATCAGACAACACAGGCAATGGGAGGATTGGCATATATCTATGCCGTACATGAGAGCCTGTAACAAAGAACATTTCTCAGCAATGGATCCAGCATAGAGGAAGCACTTAATAAACATTAGCATTACTAAAAAAGTAGGCTGCTTCAAATCTGCAAACCCTACATTTTTTTATGTTAAACTTTCTGCCACTAACAAGGGTCCATTTTGATATCACTTCTCACTGTACTCAAATAATTAATCCTTTCCTATGTTCCAGTTGCTCCCATGTTTGTCTGAAACTGTCACTCAGTCTTGTCAGTCTCAGAAATCCCATTTTTATAGCAAACATTTGGTACTGAAAATCCAAACATAGTATGACCTACCTTACATACATTCGAAAAGAAAGTGAATGCTCTATGAGGGAAAAAAATTTACAACGAAATAATATAAATTTTCATGTGTAAATACTTCTGACACAACTACATTAAAAGACAAACAAAGTAATGACATGCTTGAACCTACCTCCTGTGAACATGTTCAGACTTCAGGAAAATAAGAAAATATTCAACCAACGTGATAGGTATTTTTCTTTATGTTGGCATTTTTAAGTAGCTGCTAACGAAGTGTATCAGTATATATTTGTAGAGTCAGCATGACTACAACAGCTTCAAGGCTGATTCTGGTGTGTGGTCTGAGTGACTCAGATACTGTGGGAAGCATTGCATCAATGGTGTGACTTCCCAAAATGGAGAACAACTCTTAGTGAAATTGGTGAACAAATCAAAAGGCAAGATTCCTTCAATAACATAGTAGCTGCCTTCTTGGGAATGCATATTTAAAGAGTACAAAAAATAAAAGTGTTTACATTAAAGTAGAATTAGCTCCTAGATGTGCATCATTATAAATGTTTTTTTTTTTTTTTATTTACATGGATGTTTGGAAGGACATTCAAGAGCCAAGCAGGAAGCAGGAAAATTCATTCAGTGGCACTACTGATGCACTAGAGGGATGTTTATGATCCCTGGTGCTTGTCCAAGAATGAAAGGGATAATTTCCAATCATTTTGACCCTACCAAAGATGCCAGTGGTAATTTCCAAGGATTGTGACACCAAAATTACCCTTACTACTTTTCAAAATGTCCCTATAGGGTAATACTTCCCCCATTGAGAATCACACATCTAAACTAAGGCCAAAATATGGTGCAGATTATTCTGGCTGAAGCCTGATAATAAATGTATTTGCTGTTGATGTACTGTGAAAATCTACAAGTGGAGAAATCATGTGGAGGCCTCTTACTGCGTTTCTGTATGGTTTGTGGAAATAAAGCTGAAGAACATGCCCCTCAATAGTGGTTGGAACTATGTGTCCCCTACATATACACAGATGTGTAGAACACATTCTGTTAAATGATCACCTTTCTAAATATCATCCAGGAAACTTATCTTTGCTCAAGTAGCCATTTACTCAATTCCACTGAGGTCCCACTACTGAAAAAATAAATACATAGAGAACAGTGTCCAGGATTAGAGATCTTGAAACTCAAATCATTGATGCTGGTTCTTAGCCCCCAGTGCCACAAAATGTGCCTCAAAGTATCACTACAAAGCATTAGTTATAGAGGCCAGGATCAACACAGTATTTGAGAAATTCTTGAGGTAGGCCAGTAAGGACACAGAAGCCATGGTCCTTACTGGCCTACCTCAAGAATTTCTCAAATACTGTGTTGGTGGGAGGCTCTAGTCATCACTGGTGGGAGATGATTTCCATAAAGTGCTGCCATGTACCCTGCTGGGGGTTGTTGGAGCTCTCACTCTACTTGGCTGAATTGAGAAGGATAGGTTACATGGTCACATGGCTCAGAGTTTAGTGTATGTGCTGACACAACTCAACATTTTGGCCTCATCTTACCCTTGAACTGGATCTTCAGTGAAAAGAAAGTTAAGTCATTATGGCCTTACCTAATCTGCCAGGAAGCGTAAGTTAAACCCTTCTAGATACCAGCCACCACAGCAGATTCTAAGAATGAGCCAATAAAGACATACAAGCACTGCTCTGGATTGCCTCACAGATGTGTTAGGAGAAAGACACAGAGTAAAGAAATTGTAAGACATTGCTATCAATACTATCTCAGAATTTTGAATGAAGCACTACTAGGCACTAAGGATAAAGCAACCAACTCTTCATGCAGTGATCAAGAGCATTTCAAAGGCAGAGTGATTTTTGAACAGGGTCTTAAACAAAGACCAGGAGTTTTCAAGTGAAGGGCATTTCTAGAGAGGGAATAGCTTATGTAGGTAGCCCTAGTAGCACTTTATTCAAGCCTCCAAACAGCATTTATTGCAATGTCTTGCAGTTTACCTACAGTTACGTCTTTCTATTCAATGACCTTGCACAGCAATTGAGGATAGTGCTTGTGTCTTATTATTTGTGTATTCCCAGAGATATGAGAAAAGCAAGGCTCAGTATGAAACCATGAGAAATTTTGAACACTGAGGAGAAGAAATTCCTTGAGAGAAGCAAAGGGCCCCTCCCTTTCCTCTTCTTGTTAATAAAGAGCCTGGAGTCCTTCCCAGCAGACTAAAATCAGAAAGGGCATACACAGGTTGGAACAATACCCACAGCTTTCCAAGAAACAATGAAAACAAGGGTGGGGAGGGATAATGTGGGGAGAAATGCTGGATATAGTATGCACCTATGCAACAACCCTGCATGATCAACATATGTACCCCAGAACCTAAAGTAAAATTAAAAAAAAAATACTATTTGAATAGCAAATGGCTATCTAATCCTTATTTCTCCTTTCAATACCAGGTTCAGCCAAGGCTAGACCTGAAAGCAATGCATGGCCACAGCGAAATGTCCTGTGACTTTTCACCCCGCATGAGTTCTCCTGAGAATGGAGCAGGACTAAGGTGGAATCCCTGTGGGATAAAGGGCAGAAGATCAGGTGTCCAAAGGCATCTCTGTTGGCCCAGCAAGAAGAGTGCTTTATTGGGGTAGCAGCATCCACTTCCTAGTGCACAAATCTCCTACTCATATGCCCAAAGCATACCATAGCATGTAAGAAAAAAAAAAATCACATGACACTTAGCTGGAGTCATAACCAGCAGCTTGAACATTCCCTTCTTTTTCAAGAGGTCTTCCCTTCACCCCAGGCTGTGAGTCACTTAATGGGGGAAGACCTTTCCTTATTTAGCTGTATGTCCATAAGGCCTAGAACAGAGCCTGGACAACAAACTAGGAGCCATAGTAAATGTTTGTAGAATTGGACAGGAATAGAGGTCATGCGTAAGGGATCTACTCTGCTGAGGGTGACATCTGTGGTTCTCGCTGGATCAGGCCACCATGACGTAAGCCCGTGTTTCACTTCATGTGCCTTCAACCTGCCCCTGGCATCCTCCTCTCTAGCTGGACCCCATACAACTTATTCAGCCCCAGCTCATACCCTACATCCCATACAAATCCTGGGAGCCAGATGAGGAAATTGGAGCAATTCCTGAGTCCTTTAAGCTCTGCTCTCAGAATGATTCTTGTCTGCTTGGCTGAACCAGCACCCGGACACTTGAACTGGATGAAAGGGTTTGGTGAAGGGCTTTTCCAGAGGGAAATAAAAGGTTTTACTTAGCACCTATTAAACTTGAATCTGCATTTCACTCATCAGTATGTGAGCTTTAGAATCAGCCAGGGAATTAGCATGTAGGGGAGAGGAAAAGGGCTCAGATACGACTGAAGCCTCGTCAAGAATCTGAGGGATAATCCTTAAAGGTTATGTCAACAGCCATAATTTTAACCGAAACTCTTTAAACCTGTGAGGCTAAGCAAAAACAGGCTGTAAGACTGTCAGAACCAGGATCTCAGCTGGCCTCTTTTATGAGTCTGCCTTTCAAAGGCCCATGAATGAAGAGCTGGCAGTAGGGTTTATAGGTGGCTTGAATTTGTGGGGTATTGTCTAGTGATGAGGCAAAGGAACTTTTCAAGGAGATTGCCTGAGTGTGAATTCTGCCGAGGAAACTTGGACCATCATGGGTGGAGATGAGGAGAAGCACGAAGAAAGAGACTGAAGAAAACTGAGGGAATCAAAAAAGAAATGGAGAAATGTTATACATTCCATTTCTGCCCCTCCTGTCTAAAAGCAATCATGGGAACCTGTTCAGAGGAAAATGTAACTTGGTTTGGCTTCAGGAAGTAATCTGAACTGGAAGAGCGGATCAAAGCACAGACCGGGGAATGATTATGATGTGGTTCTGGAGCCTGGTGTTGTCATCTACTATCAGTGTGACCTTGGATGAATGCCTTCACCTCCCCATGTCTTCATTTTCACTTCTATACATGGAGAAAATGTAGCACTGACCTCACAGATGGTGGTGAAGATTAAACAAAATAAATGTGAAATGCCTGGTTCACTCCTGAAACCTAACACATGCTCAAGACATGTGAAGAGTGATGGTCCTGGGGTCTATCCCAGGTGCTGGGGAAGTGAGTGGGAAAGGGGAAAGAGTAGATTTGAAAGAGGTAATCCTGACACTTGAGAGCCTGTATGAACAGAATGAAATGTTAGGAAGAGAAGGCAAGAAGCTGTGAGTGAAAACAAGGTTTGTAACACTCTTACTATGTTGAGAAGATGAATAAGCAGAGTTGAGGTGAGAGTCTTCCTTAAAGCTTTTTAGGGTCTCAAAGGAGAGAGAGAGAGAGAGTCAAAGAAGAGAAAGAGAGTCAAAGAAGAGAGGAAGAGAGAGGAGGGGTGGGGGGAGGAAAGAAGGGGAGGAGAGGGGATGGGAGAGGGAGAGGGGGTAGGGGAGAGGGAGAGGGAGAGGCGGGAGGGGAGTGAGGAGAGGGAAAAATATAGTAGGGTCTGGCTGAATGGTTGGATTTAGGACACAGAACTCCAGTAGGAAGAAGAAATTCATGAAACATGAGATTAAATCATGCAGGGATGGGTGGAGATGAAAAAGCAACAGAAGTCCAAATAGCCAAGAAGGTAAAAGGCAGAAAGATCAAGGTGACATAGGTTTGAGTATCAGGGCTAAGTCCCCAGAAGTCACAGCATTAACATACACACACACACACACACACACACACACACACACACACACACACACACACACTCCATACCTACTCTGCCTTGAAACATACATCTTTGTTTCCTTTGTTTTTTCATCCAAAAGCCAAAAGTCTTGGCTCCTTAACTGCTCACCAAAGAAGAAAAATAAGTTTTAGAACACAGAACTTGGTGCATGGACAAGATGCAAGGTGTGTTCCAGTTCTATACACCTTCTCTGATGCACCAGGAGAATGTGTAGATATTTTAAAACATGTCAGAGTATAGAATTTACTGAGCACCTGTTGACTTCAGAGGACCCTTTTGAAATACATCCCAGATGAAATGGATGAAAGGAACTAAAGTCTTAAGGGACTAATTAGAAAGCACTGGATACAGAGTTGCAAGATGGTACAGCACAGATGACATTTCAGTGCCTTCACTTTCCAACACCTGTGCTTTGTCCACTGTCTCGAAAGGACTAGGGTTGGGGAGCAAACAGTGGCTACCCACTGAGTCAGCCCTGGGGAACAGAATTAAATCCATACCATGTATACTCAGAGCAAAGGAGCAATTAAAGTACAAAATTATTTCAACAACATGCTTACCCTCCATTATTAGCCAGGTCTAGGAGAATCAATAGTTTTTTTTTTTTAGAAAACAAATCCCTAGGAAAACATCTACCCTATCTCAACAGGGCCATGAATGGAAAAGATATGAAAGCTAAATGCATGGACTCTGGAATTAAATAACTAGGGTTCACACAGAACTCTACCAAATGCTATGTCTATGCCCTAAGCCTCAGGCCTCATTCACAAAATCAGAATGGTAACTGTACCTCTCTCATAAGATTATGAGCTAATTACATGAGACAACATGTGACCAGAGCTTAGCAGAGTGCCCATGTAGAGTGGACATATGCAATGCCATTTGTGGTGTATTGCTCATGGTTTCCATTCTTTACTCTTTCCTGGATTGGCCTTTGCTGTGCCCTCTCACTCTGACTCTGGGCTTTGTCAGTGGGATATTAGCAAATGTGACCGAGCAGATGCTTGAAAAGTGCATGCAGGATTGGGCATACTTTCTCTTGCTGCTTTGCCGTGGTCTTGAGAAGATGCCCAGGTTAACCTGCTGGAGGATGCGAACCATGGGACAGAAAGAAGCTCTCCCAGTCATCCTAGTTGAGGCCATTCTAGATCTAGCCAATGCCCACACAGGTAAGCAAATCTAACCTAGATCAGCAGAGCCACTCAGCCAACCTACAGCCAACCTCAGAAGCATGAACTACTCTAGCCAAGATCAGCCAAGTCAGATCACATAAACCCCACAAACTCATGAGCTAAATAAATCTATACCATGTGTGTCAGTAAGGTTTTGTATGTTACGAGATTGTTATGAGGCATGATTGTGGCAACAGACAACCAAATATGTTGTTCAGCATCAATGTTGTTACTGTCATTATTATTACATTAATTACTTTTAAGAGGAGCACAGAAAAGCTTACCCAGACCCTATCTAGCTGTCCAAGGCAAAATATCTTTCTCACAACTTGTTATTCTTTCTAGAGAGAGAAAAGAAAACATTAGAC